GTCAAGCCAGTGATAGAGCCTCATAAATCTCTGGAAAATATGACAACTCAGGACAATTACATAGAATAAAATTCTGGAGAGACTTGCAGGACCACATCCAACTAGGTAGATGTGTCAATCCACACATTCTAATGTCAAAAATTTCAAGGGAGGTGAGGCCATGTATATCAGGAATCCTCTTAAGATTAGGACATCTCCATATCCTCATACTTTCAAGTTGGGGGAGAGAGAAAGAAATGTCCCCAGAATCACTAAAGCCATCACAATCTTCTTCAATAGTGAGTGCTGGCGGGACAATTAGCACCTTACTCAGCTTATCACAGTCTGCAATATGAAGCTTTTGGAGAGAAGCCAATTGATTCAATGGAATACTTGAGAGCCGTGGACAATACTCAACACTCAACTCCACCAGGTGAGGAAACAGAACACCACCTTTTCCTCCGCATGTTAGTGCTGGTAGTTTCCATTCTTGCAGTCCTTCCATCTCTTCAAGCTCCAATTTTCTCAATGATGGGAACACGGGAACTGCCTTTGATTCAACACTGCCACTGCTGCTATGTGCTCCATCTAAGTTTCCGTAAAATTCATTACCTATGCATTTGATACCATCCATGCCACTTATTTCAAGAAATTTAAGATGGGGCAAGTGCCCAAGTGTTGGCAATTCTCTGCAACTGTGACAAGATTCCAATCTTAAGCTCACCAAATGGTTGAGTACTGAAATATTGCTGCACCATGCTGGAAATTTCTGGCCTTTAAAGCCGAGAATGTTTAATCTCTTCAAATTTCTGCAAGGTTGGAGACCCTCTAACACCCCCTCATCATTTCTGCAGTTTTCATTTCCATAACCCCAGTTGTATTCCAACTCATACAATTTTGTCTTTTCCTTCAAGTTTGCTTTTATGGCTTCATCTCTGCCTGCCACGTATTCTAGATTCAAGATTTTCAACCTCCCCCTAAGGTATCTTAAGGTACCTAATTCTTCAATTCCATGTCCTTCCTCTTTATCCACCGCAAACATTGTCAATGCTCTAAGAGAAGTTAACCTCCCTATTAGAGCTGGCACCAGATTTGGACTGTCAAAATAAAATTGTCTCAAGCTAATTAAATTTTCCACTCCCTTAGGAAGCTGTTGAAGAAAATAGCATTGCAGCAGAATCAACGTCTGCAAGTTGTAGAGTTCGGTGATTGATCTTGGTAGAACACTGATAGGAGTTTCTGACAGATTTAAATACCTCAAGTGCTTCAATTTCCTGATTGAAGCAGGCAAGGTCCTGATGTAAGAATCAGAAAGGTTTAAAACCCGCAACCTTTTGAATGCCCACGAAAGCTTATCAAAAACATCAACCTCTGAAAATAAAGTTCGCAATGTTTTAACACCAGTCTGACCTAGTTTTACCAATATCTCCTTATCATCAATGAGATTTAAATGTCGGATGTGAGAAATATCTTTACTAGAATCATCTCCATGAATCAATGTTTCAGATCTTGAAACAAACTGGGCAAGATCATGCACAGCATCATGCATCTTGCAACTAACAATATCTCGAAGTTCGTTCCTTTCCACATCTTGGAATAAGGAATTTGTTAACAAGATATTAAAATACTCATCACCAACATCTTCCATGTGGATATCTTTTGCTTGATCTTCTTGAAGAAATCCTTGAGCCATCCACAGCTGAATCAACTGCTCCTTTTTCATGAGAAAA